AGTATGAGAAGTCTGCCAACTTTACCCAATCTGTTTTTGGGGTGCACCTCACACACGACTATCGCTTGCTGTCATGTGCTTAGGTTGAGGGCTTTCAATGCGTTTAGGACAAGCAAACCGCTTGCGATGGACAGCCGATGTTCAAGTTAGTAATTTTTTTCTTGATTGTTCTTGATTTGTGAGCACCAGTGATTTTGTTCTTTCACTTGATTCTGATGGCAATTGAGCAACAACGGAGGGATTAAACTCGGGAATCGATCTGGGGATCAGCGTATGACAGTATGCACCATTGGCTCTACAGCATCACCTGAGGGATGAACCAATTTCTTCTATTTTTAATAGAAATTTAGTGATTTTAAAATGCGAATACAGTCTATACAATGAGTTGTAGGTGTTAGCCGACATACGAGGTAAGACGTCAGCAAAGAAAAAGAAGTACCAGTATGGAGCAGACTGACGACAAAAGTTCCGAAAATCGTGGAACTTCGAAAGGAATTCTTTAGAAAATAGAAGTTGTGAATCAGACAGCATATGGGTAACGGAACTTCTCCCCTATCGCGGCATTCTCCCTTGCGGCATGCGGCAAATGTCACTGCAATTACCGTACTCACCCCGCCTCCCGAAAATCGATAGGACGCGATATTTTTCGTTGATTGCCTTGCTTTTTTATTGGATTTGATCGTTTTATCTCCTGTTTCTTTTTCGTTTTCATGTTTATTAGACTTGATTGATTAAAATGACTCCTCTTATATAAACGACGATCAATACCGCATTGAAATTGAAGGGAGCGACCAGCCAATTCAAATGATTAAAGGACTCCCTACCCCACAAATTGCGCGCTCCAATCTTTCATCGCAATCCTGCGATAGGCGGCGGGTGCGGCGTGTGCGACGCCGTGTTAGGGGAGAAGTTCCCGGACCCGACAGCATATTTGATGGGTCTAATCGGCTATTGGATATATCCATTCAATGGCGTCTCTTACCGGAGGGTTTTGCGTTGTTTCTCCAATCGGTGCAACGAATTCTGCAGGTATATATATAGGGAGCCATAGTGTTTCTCCTGATTTAATCATTCCCGATATATAGCATTCCGCTTTTACATAAATTTTTCCTAAAAGAATTGTATAACCGCTCATTTCCTGGTCTACTTGCTGCCTCTGTGTCAATTTCTTTCGTCAATATTCTAACTGCCTTTCACCTTCCAACGACAGAAATGAATGATCAGTCACGTGCTCATTCATTGCCAAGTCGCTAGGCATTCGAAAAAGGCAGGACAGGCTCGTCATGGAATGTCCTACTTTTTCGTATCACCAGCTCAGAAATACTGTTTACTGTTTTGTTATTGTTGTCACTGCCTTTATTATTTTTTATGAATTCTCTTGTTGGATGTTTTTATTTGTTTTATTCAAGAACAAGCATTGACAAAGGTTGATCAGCAGTCATGAAAACGGTCTCCGCTTACCGCTCAATTCTT